TTGGAGGTGATGGATTAGGTTCATGGCATAGATGGTCCTGATGGTTTTAAGGGTGTACACTTATCTACAAACTTATCAAGTTGTGTACATTGAATATGTATAGCTTTTTAGCATGCCAATCATACTTCAATAAAGTGATTTTTAAAAATCTTCTTACAATAGATAAACAAGTTGTGATATATTCATCCAATGGAATATTACTCAGAAATAAGGAGGAATAAGTTATTGACACATGCAACATTATGAATAAATCTCAAATACAGTATGCTGAGTGCAAGAAGCCTTATACAGAAGAACATACTGTGTGATTCCAGTTATATGATCTTCTGAAACAGGCAAATCTAATCTACAGTGGGGAAACAAATTAGAACGTTGGTTGTTCCTGGGAAAGTGGAAATGGGAGGGAGCATGAAGGACTTTCTGGGGTGATAGTATGTTCTATACTTGATAGAAGTTTGGGTTATACGAATGAATGCATTTGTCAAAACTCAGCAAATATATACACTAAAGATCTGTGCATTTCATTTCATGTAAATTTTACATCAAAAGAAACTTGAAGTATTAAATTCCAGTTAATGATATGCATGCTGAAATATTAATATTTAAATGGCCAAATATGTATTGCTGTTTGCAATTTACTTTGAAATGCAACAACATTAAGATAGATATAGGGAAAGGTAGAAATATCCTAAAGCGAGTGTTATATAATGTTAATGGTAGAATAATCTATGTAGTAGGCTTACAGACGCTATTGTAAAACTCTTTAAACTTTGCTAAATATTTTAAATTTTTCATAATCAAATGTTAGGAAAATACAAACTTAAAAGACACTAAAAATGGGCACAAATTTTAACAGACACTTCATGAAGTTTTTCTTAATAGCCAATAAAAAGATGAAAAGGTGCTCAACTTCATTAATCATCAGGGAGCTGCCAATTAAAATCACCTGAAGCACAATTATCACCCACCAAAATGACTAAAATGAAGAAAGATGGAAAATACCAAGTGTTGATGAGAATGTGGCACAACTGGAATACTCATACATTTCTGATAAGTGTAAATTGGCTCAAACACTTTGAAAAACCGTTTTAAAATATTTAATATCTACTAAATTTGAACATAGTATAACTTATAATCCAAGAATTCCATTGGTAGGTATACACCGCACAGAAATGCAATAATCTTTCATCATGTTCATCAAAAGATGTTTATTACAATGTTCGTAGCAGCAATATATTTAATAGTTCCAAAATGTAGACTACTCCAATGCCTATCAATAATTGGTTGAATATAAATTGTGGTATATTCACAAAATGGAATGCACTGCAGCATCCTCATGAGCAAACTGTGACTATACTCAAAATGTGGATGAACCTTATGACCGTAATAGTGAGTTAAAGAAACCAGACACAAAAAATCACATGCTGAAATGGTCCCACGTATATAATGTACAAACGCAAGGATACTACTCTATGCTGTTAGAAGTCAGGTGAGCGGTTACCTTTAGGTGAAAAGGAGTGGACTGGAAGGAAATACTTCTGGTGTGCTGTCTCCTCTCCCCTCCCCTCCCCTCCCCTCCCCTCCTCTCTCTTCTCTCCTCCTCTTCTCTTCTCTTCTCCTCTTCTCTCTTTCTGTCTGTCTCTCTCTCTCTCTCTCTCTTTTTCTTTTGACTGATGTAGTCTAGCTCTGTCGCCCAGGCTGGAGGTGCAGTGGCATGATCTCGCTCACTGCAGCCTCCACCTCCCGGGTTCAAGCGATTCCCCTGCCTCAGCCTCCCGAGTAGCTGGGATTACAGGCATGCACCACCACACCCAGCTAATTTTCGTATTTTTAGTAGAGATGGGGTTTCACCATGTTGGCAGGCTAGTCTCAAACTCCTGACCTCAAGCAATCTGCCCACCTCGGCCTCCCAAAGTGCTGGGATTACAGGCGTTAGCCACCACGCCGGGCCATGTTCTGTTTCTTAAATTAGTTGTTGGTGGCAGGACTGTGATTAGTTTGTGAAATTTCAGCCGACTGTGCATTTTTGTGTACTCATCTGTGGGCATGTTATATTTCAATAAAAAGCAGTCTCTGCCAGAACCTACAGGCAATGAGGGGCCACAGAAGGAGTTGACATTTGAGACGTTTGAGAAGGGTTTAAAATACACGATCAGATTTGCATTAGGAAGATTAATCTTTGGCTTGGAGAACGACCGGAAAAGGAGTTGGGAGCTATTTGTAGAACTAATCCAGGCAAGCAACTATGAAGGTCTGAATTAAAGCAAGGGAATAGGAATGAGGACAGGGTGCAGCTGATATTTAGGAAGTAAACATGACAGGACGTGAGCTGACCTCTAAATCCTACTCATGTTTCCTTGCTTGAAAAATAAGGAATAACAGTACCTACTTCACTGTGACTAGTTTGATGATTTAATGAAGGGGGTGGTTTCAGAGATTTATAAAAAGTATATATGCTCATTGTATACTATACAGACCTAGACATAAGGTATTAATATTAGAAAGCTCTAAGAGAAATATCTTGATTTTGGCATTGTCCCTGCGACGCTGCCTTCTCCCTGCCTAGGATGGATCAGCGTGGGACATAGGGTAGAAGGCAGAGGTCCAGAATGGCACAGGACATGTCAGAACCTGGGCGTGAAACGTGCCCAGGGGACCATGGGTGAAGGTCTGGGACTCTTCCTTCTGCCTCCAGCAGAAGGAAACAAAACTAAACCGGGCGTTTCCTCCCTTCCTCCCCAGCCTTTCGGCCGAGAGTGTACCGGCGGAACTGGACGGGGATTCAGGCCTAGGGGTGGGCTTGGGACCGGAAAAATGGCCAATGGAACTCGAGCTTCTCCGTGCTTAGCCAACTGCATGCCCCCCCCCAAGGACCGCCCCCATGCAGTGATTGGCAGACACGTCTCCCAGTGTTGTCGCGGCCTGCCGGGGCTCTCAGAACTCCCGCGAGGGTGCGGGTCTTCGTCCAGCGCTGGGCCAATTGGTCCCGCCCCTCAAGGTATTTCTGCTCCTCGCGTGCCAGGGACCTCCGTAGGCCTCCTCCTGCTACGGACCTGGAGCCAGGAGGCGGCTGGGAGGTGGGCGAGGTGAGGAGGTCTGAGTAGCCGCAGGCTGTGGGCCGCTTCGCCTCGAATCCGGGACCCGCGGGACCCGCAGGACCTGCAGTGCCAGGGGCCGACGTGGGCGCGGCCCGGGCTCTCCTTTCCCTCACGCGTACCTGCCTTCTCCGCGGTGCCTGGGGCGGCTCTCCTGCCAGTTGGCGGGAGGAACCCGTAGTAGTAAAGCGCGACTGGATTAGGCCCTGTGTATTGAAGGATTTGCGATCTTGAAAGGGACATTTGCATTAAAAAGTGGGCAAACTTGTTTGTGGTCCTATTGGTAACACACTTTTGGGGGTGCAGTACAGTATGTTACCATGCTTTAGGGGATTAACCGCCTTAGTTAAATGGTGGATTCCAGTTGTTCCTAGCCCGTTTCTAGCTGCTGCTCTTTCTGCTAATTTAAAGAGAATTTAAGTAGGATAAGGTCCTGTTTACATCTTCACGTTTACATCTTGCAGTGCCATTCTAATACAAATGCTTTAAGCAGCCCTAGCAGCCTCCCCAAAAAGTAACGGAGATTCCCCCAGTAAAGGAACATGGCAATATGTGTTAAATTCTTTTTTTTTTTTTTTTTTTTTGAGACAGTGCCGCTCTGTCGCCCAGGCTGGAGTACAGTGGTGCAATCTCGGCTCACTGCAACCTCTGCCTCCCGAGTTCAAGCGATCCTCCCACCTCAGCCTCCCAAATAGCTGGGATTACAGGCGCCAGCCACCACTCCCGGCAAATTTTTGTATATTTTGTAGAGACGGGGTTTCACCATGTTGGCCAGGCTGGTCTCGAACTCGTGATCTCAGGTGATCTGCCGGAATCGGGCTCCCAAAGTGCTGGGATTACAGGTGTGAGCTACCACGCCCGGCCTGTATTGAATTCTTGAATTTAGCAAACACCACAAAATTATCTTAAAGTACCCTGTACTTAAAACCGTAAGAAAGACCAGCCTGAGTCTGTTTTCCCTGAAAGCAAAGCACTGAAAAAATCGTGCAATTGGAAAGAGAATACGTAACATTGTAGATACCTGAGTCTTCACATATAATTACGACCGTTCATAGAAAAATAACAAATGTTTGTGAGGATATGGAGAAATTGGAACCCTTTGTGCTTTGCTGGTGGAATGTCAAATGGTGCAGCCTCTCGAGAAAATAGTATGGTACTTCCTCAAAAAATTAAACATAGAATTACCATATGATCCAGCGATTTCACTTGTCAGTGTATACCCAAAAGAACTGAAAGAACAAGGACTCAGATACTTGTACACCAATGTTCATAACAATATTCACAATAGCCAAACAGAGGAAACAACCCAAATGTTGATCAACAGATGACTGGGTAAGCAAAACGTAGTAGACACACACACAGAGGCACACACACAATATTATTCAACCTTGAAAATGAAATTCTGACACCTGCTATAACATGGATGAACCTGGAAAACATTATGCTAAGTGAAATAAGCCAGACACAAGGATAAATACTGTATGATTCCAATTATATGAAGCACTGAGAATAGTCAAATTCGTAGACAGAGCAGGATAGAGGTTCTCAAGGGCTAGGAGAAGGGAGAATGAGGAGCTGCTATTTAATGGGTATAAAATTTGTTTGGGATGATGGAAAAGCTCTGGAAGTGGAAAACCTATTTTAATTCCAGCATCCACGTTGTACAATTGTAATTTGTGAAAACCTCTTCAAAATTTGATTTGAGAGATGTATGAAATATGTGTTCAAAGCTTATAAGATGGTATTTTTCAGTGTATGTGTGCTTATTTTAAATTGACTCCACTACGTAGTATTTGCAGGATGAATTTGGGAAGCAATACTTGTGTGTTAGAATTCCTAGAAACCCAACCACACATACTGTATTATACAGACTGGAGACAACAGCATCTATTCGGTTGTTCTATATTTGGAAATAACTATTTTGGTACCTTGCATTTGAGCCTCCCTACCAATCAACAGCAATTGAAAAAAAAAAACAAACCATAATTCTAAACTAGCTCATTTTGAATATACAGCCAAGATAAGTGGCAATATACATGTTATTAGGATGTATTTTTAAAATCTTAGGTTCTTTCAGAGTGGGACAGTGCTGATGACATATAATTAAAGTATTTCATATATCATTTTCCTATTAATTGGACAAGAAAATACTGATTTATTTTCGACCCTTTTGTAGGTGGGAAAACAGAAGGCTAAGATGATATAGCACTGAAATCTTTATCACCTTCTCCAAAGATTATTTGTACTCATCTGTTGAAATATTTACCAATTTTTCTTTGTGTAGTTTGTGAAATTGCTGGAATAGGTTATGTTTCTGCTGGCTACAACAGAGCTTTTAAGGTTACCAGCTAAGTTTCTTAGATGTGAATAGAATTATTTTTTTGTTGACCCTAAAACTGGTGACTATTAGAGCAAAGAATTCATATTAAACTTTGTGTAAAGTTGAATATGTCAGTGAGACACTTGAAATAGACTATTGCATTTGAACCTTCTTATCAATAGCAATCAAAAAACCCTAATTCCAAACTGGCTCTTTCTGAATATACAGCCAAGACAAGTGGCAATTAGAACTGTTAAAAGTAGTTTCTGGCTGGGTCCAGTGGCTCACACCTGTAATCCCAGAACTTTGGGAGGCTGAGGCAAGAGGATCACTTGAGCCCGTGAGTTCAAGACAGGCCTGGACAACATAGGGAGACCCCCCCCATCTCTATAAAAAACAATAACTAAATTAGCCATTAGCCACAGGTGCACACCTGTGGTCCCACCTACTCAGGAGGCTGAGATGGGAGGATCACTTGAGCACAGGGTATCAAGGTGCAGTGAACTATGATTGTTCCACTAGACTCCATCCAGCCTGGGTGACAGAGGAAGACCCTGTCACAAAAGAGAAAAAAAAAAAAAAGTAGTTTCTGGTGATGACATATCAAGAGCAAGAATTTTTGACTGGCACAAAAGGTTTAAAGAAGGTAGGGATGACACCCGTGGTGATGTGCAAAGCAGTCATCCAGTCACCCACAGAATCCAGTTAAATGCTGAGAGCCAGAAATTCGGTTTTCTCAAATAGCAAATTAACTGTGAGAAAATAGCAGAAAAGTTTCATTCTGTAAGAAAACTTGCAGCTGATGAAAGCTTCTAGGAAGACTGTTATCTCCTGCTCTTGTGGCTGAAGATCTAATGGAGGCCAAAGCAAAACAGAGCTAAGCAGGAGCCTGCAGCTTGGGTGTGTATTCAGGGCACAATACTGTTTTGTTTCATTGGTCTTGGAGAAATTTCAGGCTGAAACAAGCTGAGCATCCAAACATTTTAAACAGGTTTTTGTAGGTATGTGATTTAAACAGCGTGAAACTTGTAGAGCTGGATATGACCAAAAAAAAAAAAAGAGGATGGAACTAGAAGTTTATTAGGAGGAACAAACTGTTATCTCACGGTAAGGAACTAACTGTAGGAGAATTTCTACCTTAATTTCTTCAACGTGAGCTCATCAGGTTACCTGCAGGCTAAGCAGTTAAACCTTCAACAGGGAGCTAGCAATTGTTATTCTGTATGGACACATCTCAAAAGTAGTCTGGGATTGGCCATACTTGGGCAGAAATATTTAACTTGTAATAATGAAACTTCTTTTGAGAGTGGGAGATGGAGCTCAGATGTTGGAAACAGGGATTCAATTAAGAAAGAAAAAACTGAAGAATTGTGGGCAGTTTAAGTATTAAATAAAAATATACTGTTCTCTTTCATTCTTCCCACCCACCAAAAAGTGAGGACCTGATTACGTTCAGAATCTCACAATACTTTGTTCTTTATAGAATCTAAATTTCACTTTTAAATGGATTTTTATATATAAACTGTTCATCTCTAGGATTTATAATAAAGGGCAAATAGGGTTCAGTTTGATCCTAACTTTCATCATGAGAATGAGATTCTATAGTTTGAGAAGTTTCAAAGGGTATGAACAATAATATATACAATATTTTCAAGTGACTGAGGTTTGACCTTCATATCCTATGCTTCAGCTCTAACAGCATTCATTAAAGGAAAGCTTGAATTACTTGAATATTCATGAGCCCACGAATAGCCTCAAGTACATCATGGTCCAGTCAAATGGTGGTTTTGCTGAAACACTGTAATAAAAAAGCATTAGTAATTCATGTCAGTTGATATAAGGTAGTCTTACAGAGAATAGGTGAAAAATGGTTTCACACAAGAAATTTTGATACACCTAGAAAATGTAAAGGATTTCAGGTAGTATTTTGTCAGTTAACATGTTTAGGGAGCTAGGTGAACCATGTGTTATTCCATCCCATAATAAATTTAAGTATGAACTTTTCATTAAAACACTTAGGTTCTTTGCCCCAATTTCCTTCCCAGTCTCTAGTATAGTGCTGTTTAAGTGTAGTATCCCATAATTCAGAATTAGTATTACTGCAACCTAGTGGCAAGGACTTAAGTCAGAGCCTTGTGGTAGCTGACCCTGGGAAGACTAGTTTTATTAGTGATACTACTTTTCTGGAGTCAGAGTCTTGCTCTGTTGCCCAGGCTGGAGTGCAGTGACAGTCATGTCTCACTGCAACCTTGAACTTGTGGGCTCAAGTGATCCTCCCTCCTCAGCCTCCAAAGTAGATTAGACGACCGTGCCCAGCGAAGTTTTTGACTTTTTGTAGGGATGGGGTCTTGCTGTGTTGCTCAGGCTGGTCTCGAATTCCTGGCCTCAAGCAGTCCCCTTGCCTCAGCCTCCCAAAGAGCTGGGATTACAGGCTGTGCCTAGCCGATATATATTTTTTTAAAGGACACTAGTACCATTATGTCCTTTTAAGTCCTCTTTTACATGTTACATACACCAAAAACACCTAATAGGCTGACAGATGCTCCCTTTGTGCCAAATATTGAGAACTTTCTCTTGCCCAGAGATTCAGGTTTACATTTCTTAAAACACAAACTGAAACTGAAGTTTATGAAAACATTATCTCACTTTAGCAGTTTGTATTACCTCCAGGACACTACTGGGTGAAGCTGTACAGCCCACAGGGCAAAAATTATAATTAGAATGCTTTTTCTATTGTCTTAATTTGCTTCAGTTACTGAATTTATAAAATGTGGTGTTTTGTACTGTATAAATACAAGTGTGCATAAATGACTTTCCAATAAACCATAGATTCCTTACTTTTCACAATGCTTTATTAGGAGGTATCTGCTGACCCCACATATTTTAGCCATATGCTCATGTATCTCAAGATTAAAGTCTAAATACATTTTAAATTCATGGTCATACCTTTAAAAAATGACCAATTAATATATATAGGATCTACTCCCAACCACCCACACGGCACTAATAAAAACAGTGGAGGCAGGCTGAGGTGGTGGGATTCTTGCCCCTGCTATATTTGTGATCTTAGAGGTTGCTGTAAGAAATTACAAGTTGGTGGCTTAAAACAGCAATTTATTCTCAGTTCTGAAGGCCAGAAGTCAGAAATTAGTTTCACTGAGCCAAATCAAATGCTTCTTCTCAGGAGGTTCTGATGGGGAATATGTTCCTTGGCATCACCCAGCTCCTGGGGGCTGCCTCATTCCGATCTTCAAGGCCAGCATCTTCCAATCTGCTGTATGTGGATCTCCCTCGGGCTCTCTCTCATGAGGGAACTTGTGATCGCATTTAGGGCCCACTAGGATTATCCCAGGTAATCTCCCCATCCTGAGATCCTTAATCTAATTATAATAATATCTGCAAATAAGGTAACAATTACAGGTTCCAGAGATTAGGCCTGATTATCTCTGGAGGCAGTCATTCAGATTACACTGTCTTTCCAGGTTCTGACAGGTTGTTTCTTCTGAAAAGTTGGCTGCATCATGCAATGCTACAACAGTACTGCTAATAAAACCCTGCAGTAATGGAAATGTTTTCTATCTATGCTGCCCCTAACCACATGTGGCTGTTGATCCGTGGATGTGTTACAGGGCCTCTGCCCAAGTAACTCAAGGGGGAGAAGACCACCACCAGGACTCCGTGGAGTGCTTTGTGAAACCAGTGGTTATTCTTGACAACTATTTGCTAGAGCCTTTTTATCTGTGCTGCCCCTAGCCACATGCAGCTATTGAATATTTGAAATGTGGCCAATGAGTTATCACAACCAACCATATCCACTGATTTTTGTATACTTGCTCACTGGTTCTTACGATACCTAGAATACTACTTGATCCATAGTTAAATGCTCCATTAAAAGAACATTAGAGCTATTCCAGTACTATGTAAATACTAAGTATCAGTTCCAGTTTTAGTAGATGTGCGGCCGAAACATGCACAATACTAAATATCAATATTGTCATTTTGTTCTAACATTGACTCTACGGTATTATAAAAATGATTAAATAGTACTACCAACTAATATATCATTTGCTGAGTACTTACTACTTACCAAGTAGTCTGATGTATCACATATTACTCGTTAATAAAACCTAACACTAAGTGGTTTAAGATCACACATAGAGATCTGAACCTAGGCTCAACATTATGCTGCCCTTAGAAGGGGACTATAAGCCACTTACCTACAAAATGTCAAGCACCTGACTAGACCCTCTGTAATATGGTGGGAACCAAGGGGGACTTTACAGAATGGAGAGAAGCACAGGCAGTTAGGCAAGTTCACACACAATGTGCAATGTAGTTCTGATGCTACAGGGCCATTACATAGAAGGGCTGGTGGTGGTCAGAGAAAAGTTAGGTTAAGAGCAGTAAGGTATAAGGCTATAGGGAGCATTCCAGTTAAATTAAAACATTCAGAGCCCGGAAGGCCAGAGCACATTGCCATTTTACAAGAGTTTGAAAATAACCAACTCTCCACTACTATATACAGACATTAAGTCCTCCCCTCCAAGGGCACTTCTCTATAGCTTCACTGCTTCTCCTAACCTTTAAACACAACTATCCTCAGGGCCTTTGCACTAGTTTTCCCTCTGCCTAGAATGCTCTCCCCTCAACTATATATAAGGCCATGACATCTCCCTCAGCTCTTTCATGTTGAGTGAGGCCTCCCTTGCCAGCCATGTTAAGCCATCTCCCTTTCCTTCCCTCCTTAGCAATTATAGCCAGCTAATGCATTAGTTGAATATTTTTTGTACTAGTCCATTCTCACATTGCTATAAGGAACTGAGACTGGGTAATTTATAAAGAAAAGATTTGTCTCATCTCAGCAGGCTGCACAGGGAGCTTGGCTGCTGAGGCTTCAGGAAACTCACAATCATGGGGTATATCTAAAAGGAAGCACATGGCCAAAGTAGGAGGAAGGGGAGGTGCCACACTTTTAATCTAAACTCTGCCATTCTTCTGCCTCTGACTTGAGAAAACGTGCACAATTGCATCACCTTTATTTTTAATTTTTCTTTTCAGGCTGGAGCACAGTGACAAGATCATGGGTCACTGCAGTCTCAACCTCTTGGGCTCAAGCAATCCTTCTGCCTCATTTTTTGTAGAGATGAGGTGTTACTATGTTGCCCAAGATAGTCTTAACTCCTGACCTCAAGCGATCCCCCTGCCTTGGCCTTCCCAAGTGCTGGGATTACAGGCACCAGCCACTGCCCCAGCCACACTACACATCTAAACAACCAGATCTCATGAGAACTCACTATCATAAGGAACAGTAAGAGGGAAATCCACCCTTTTGATCCAATCACCTCCCACCAGGCCCCTCCTCCAACATTGGGATTACAATTCAACATTATCTGAACTTATGAGCAATTACCTAAACTTATGAGGCTAGACTTTACAATATGGGACATAAAAGTTTAGATAAAAAGGTAAGAACAGTGCTATGAATTAAGAATGACTCCAAGATAAATATTAAATACTTGCTACATAGACACACAAAAAAACCAGAATGCGCTGACAGATACTCATTTTGTGCCAAATTTTGTGAAACTTCTTCGGCTCAATGCAATGAAATAATACAAAGAGTTCATATTCCTAACAGCTCTACTGTGGTCCTTTCCTAGTTTAATTCTTAACTTTTACTGCAGGACATCAAATCTCAAGAGACAGGTGCCTTTCCAGAAGTCACACTGCTGAAAAGTTATACACGTGAAGCCTCTCAGAGATACTCACATGTGATGAAACTTGAGTTACCCCTAATCCATTTCTTTACCTATGAAATGGGAGAATAGAATCTGTAAGGTTAGCAGAGAGAAAAGACAAGAGACCCAAGGTCAGGCAAGTAAGTTTATTAACCTGCCGGGCTTCTCCACCAGTCAGAGGTGGCAGCCCTGAGCTTACAAAATGAGGGGTTTATATGGGGGAGAGAGATTCGGGGGGTTGTTAGTTGATTAACTACCACATTTCATCTCGTGGCCGGCTTACAATATATTATCTTGTGAAAACAGGAATTTACAAGGGGGTGTAACTTAGGTTTATCCACGTTTCTCATGACCTCCCCCGTGCCACCCGGAGGGCTTCGGTGTAGCAAGTCTGGGGACCTTGCTGTGGCACCTAGATAAGGGTTCAGGAATGCAGCTGCAGAGTATTCAGGTTAAGGGTCAGCTGCATTGAGTTGGCGGGGGCGGGGTGGTCCTGGGGCAGCTTGTCCCTAACAGAATCCACCTCTGAGTTGTGACAATTAAATGAAAAAGGCTGAAAAGGTGAACATGAAGCACCTGCTACATTGCCCTGTTGCCACCAGCGTTGTCCCACTGCTCTAACTCCTGTGGCACTGCACGGACACGTGGTTGCTACAAGTTAGTACGCATATTTGGCCTTATTAGAGGCACTTTCCTATTGTAACTGAAGGGATAGTTGGCTTAAGTCAACTGAAATACCAGCAACAGGACATTCCAGCTTCAATGGCTTGTACCTGTAGTTGTCAACCTATAGAAAGAAAAGTTTTAAAATGACGTTTTAAACAAAGAAAACGGAAATGTATCGCTTGTTCTACAAACTGTGTAAAGAAAATCACAAAGGCGCTCAAGTTGTAACGAAATTTTTTCTGGTTCAGGTGTGACTCCAGACAGGATCCAAAGGGGAGATTTCCAGTCTCTTCTCTGGGTTTTATGGAGACTTACTTTACCCTTCTGTGTTAGCCTCTTAAAGCACTGGGTCAACCTTAAAAGGGCACAGGAAAGGGTGCTTTGGGATTTTTTTTCTTTGATTTTACAGGGTTCACTATTATTTCCTGCGTTGCTCTCCATATCTCGTGGATCTCTGCTTCTCTAAGTCTGAAACCACCACTAGAAACAGATGTTTTGTTTGGTGAGCATCTACATGGATGTTTCCTTCCAGTTAAGGGGAGGCGGATTCGGACCTTGGCGACAAACAGACGCCGGGGAACCCTCCGGTATCACTGGCCACGTGCTCCGGGTTGAGTCATTTCCCCCTGCTCAAGGCTACGAACATACCTGTGCTAAGAACTGAGGCAGCTGCACTTCCGCAGACGTAAGAGACGAACTCCTGAGCTCAAAGTCGGCTGGGGTTGGGTTCCTGTCGCCGCACGCGTGGCCCCCCCGAAACCCGCTACAAAGTAGTGGCGCGTCCGCCCTGGCGAAGCAAAGGGCAAAATTGTTACGGTGCCCCGGACCTGCCCCGGGAACCTCTGGCTGTTCCTCTGGGCGCGGCGCCTGTGCCTCGCGCGGCCCCGGGACGAGCACTGCCGCCCGCCCCCCGGGCAGCCGAGGGCTGCTCTACCCCTCCGTTCTGGCCGCCGGGAGCAGAGAAGCTCGGGGCGGGCAAAGCTCGTGGGGACATGGGCCGAGCCCAGCCCTGATCCGGCCCGCGGGCCGGCCGGGCGCCCTCCCCTCCAGAGACCGAAAGCCGAAGGCTGAAGACGCACTCACCGCGCGATTCCAGCTGACAAAGAGGAGGGCGACCTGCGCCGGGCGAACAAACTAGAGAGGCGGCGCGGGGCGGGGCGGGGCGGGGCGGGGCGGGGGAGGGGAGGAGGAGGGTCGTGGGGCCCGCAGCCAATCCCGGGAAGACTCTGGGCGAGGGCGGGGCTCGCAGCCGATCCCTGGAGAAGTCGGGGAGCTCAGCCAATCCTGGGAAGACCCTGAGCGGGGCGGGGTGGAGGGCCGCGGCACGCACAGCCAATCCCGGACGGGGCAGGACGGGCCTGGCCATTGGCTCTCGGTGTCCGGGGCCGACCTAGGTCTGGCTCTTGCGCGGAGATAAGCCGTGTCTGCGCGCAGAGCATTCTCGGAATTAGGTTCTTCAGGCTCCCCACCAATCCCCGGCGTTGGTGATTCTGGTGCTCTTAGGCCGTAGACCCTTCCTCGGGTTCTCTTGTGGGGAGGCCATCGAGGTTACTCTACGGCTGGCCTAAGGCCTTGAGATTCCCTTTCCTAAAGCCACACTAATCCGATGTGTGTTCATAATCTGTGTCCGCCTAAACCGTAAGCTTAAAGAGAAGCCACGACCATGTCTTGTTCGACAAGCTCACTCCCATGGCCTCTCCTAAAGCTAGGACTGCCTCCTTTCCTCATGCTCCCTCTTTATTCATTTGCAGAGTCCAATAAGTAAACCATAATCAGTTGGAGGGTGGGAGTTGGGGAGGTTGAGAAGGCAGCCATAGCAGTCTCAAGGTAACAGGCTCAAACGTGGCAAACAAGTAGAATAAAATTGGAGTATATGCCAAAAGGAGAACTTCTATTACTGTTTCACATACTTACCATCTGCTAAGAAATCTAATCCTCAAAATATATTTTGTCATCTCCAAATTATAGATGGGGAAATAATTATGTTATGTGACTTGCCCAAAGTCACAGAGCAGCTAGCCAGTGGTAGATCCAGGATTTGAACTCAAGCAGCCTGAAGGCAGAGCCCCTCAAACACCATGCTACCTAGCCTTTCCCCAGGTATTGAGGATGGAGCAGGAAGGGAAACCAAAAAATAGCCTACATTTGGTTAACTGATCAAGACAGGCAGCTCTGGTGGGGTTGTAGCTTTGCAAGCAGAAAGAACAGCTAGTCCAGAGCCCCAAGGTAAACAGGAAAGGGATTTACCTGTTTAAGGACGCCCAGAAATGGAACATAAGGAACAGAATGGCCTGAGATGAGAATGGCTTGGGGCCAGACCATGCCAGAAACCCTGGAAGAGTTGTTTTGTTTTGTTTTGTTTTGTTTTTGAGATGGAGTCTTGCTCTGTTACCCAGACTGGAGTGTGGTGGCGCGATCTTGGCTCACTGCAGCCTCCACTTCCCAAGTTCAAACGATTCTCCTGCCTCGGCCTCCCGGGTAGCTGGGATTACAGGCACACACCACCATGCCTGGCTAATTTTTGTATTTATGGAAGAGTTTATATTTTGTGCTAACGATGATGGAAAGCTGTTCAAGTGCTTTTTTTGTTTGTTTTCGTATGTGTTTTTTTAAACAGTGGAATGATAGGATCTGATGTAGGGTGTGGTTTCGGGTGTGATTAAGGTGATTTTGGTGGGAAGACGAAGTTGAATAAAATTTACCAATAAACCCTAGCAGCTAGTCATCATCTTGCAGATATTCAGAGGATCTTGTTGAAACCGGAGAGTGAGTATCAGTTTATTGTCCCCTCACCTTTCTCAAGAATCTTCCAAACATATCTCTAGTTGGAATCTGTCCTTTTTATAGTCCCTTTTGATAGCTGAGAGATATTACCTTTCCTTTAACTATGGCAATGAATTTGGTCAGGCTACATGGGAAAATATAGGAAAAGAGAAATAAATCTCCTTAGTAAAGAGACTAATGCAGGAATTCAGCAGCAACCTAGCAGGGGCTGGGGGTAGTTGTGCAGAATGTCTTCTCCCCTCCCCCAACCAGGAGATAAAAATGGGAAGGAATTATGAAAGAATTACATTTGTGTTTGATTCAAGAGAAATTCACCTTAATCTGAAGGCTTCACATTTCTGACCAAATACCTCAATTCAATGAACATGAAAAACTCAGTTCATTTGAAATAGTAAAACTTCACTGGGCTTAGAGGAGAAATGTCTATTAAATACAGAGATGATAGAACAAAATAAACTGATTTATAATTGCTTTTAAGTTAGGTTCAAGATAATATGTATTTGGTACTAAAAATGCTTACAATACAGTTTAAAGAGAATTGTTTCAATTGGGTTCATTATTAGGCCTAATTTTTTGAGAGAAATTAATATGTCCAATCCTTCCTTCCTTCCTTCTCTTTCTTTCTTTCTTTCTTTCTTTCTTTCTTTCTTTCTTTCTTTCTTTCTTTCTTTCTTTCTTTCTTTCTTTCTTTCCTTCCTTCCTTCCTTCCTTCTTTCTCTCTTTCTCTGTATCTCTCTCCCTCCCTCCCTGCCTCCCTCGCTCCCTCCCTTCCTTCCTTCGTTTTCTTTTCTCTCTTGCTCTCTCTCTCTTTCTTGCTCTCTCTCTCTCTCTCATCTCTCTCCCTCTCCCTTTCTTTTCCTATTGACAGGGTCTTTATCACTTAGTCTAGAGTGCAGTGGCACGATCATAGCTCATGGGTCTAGCTCCAACTCCTAGGCTTAAGTGATCCTCCCGCCTCAGCCTCCCAAAGCATTGGCATTACAGGTGTGAGCCACCACGCCTGGCCAGTCTGTCCAATTTGAGGGAGTTCAGTCTGTCCAACTTTAATCTGTCTGAAGTTGAATAAAGGGACCTAGAAGAATATTCACCAGCCCTCCAGATATTCTCAGTTGGATTTCCCAGAGACACCACAAAATCACTCTTTTGGCCCAGAGTTTATTCTCTTCTTCCACCTGTCCACTTCCTTTTTGTGTCTTCTGTCTTGAAGAATAACAATTCCTTATCCCAGCTGTCCAGGACTTAGAGCAAATGCTTTCCTTTCTCAGCCTCCTCCTCCATTTCTCAGCCTCCTACTTCCTCGTCTTCTTCCATGCAGGCAGTTCTTCCTATTGACCATCCACGAGTCTGCCTCTTCTTTCCAGCCCTTGCTTGTACTTTAGTTCTAGCTCCATCATTTACTTTCAGCATCATCCACTGCAGTAGCCTCCACCTTCATTCAGCTTCCCTGTCTCCAGTATTTCCTTCCTTATGAATTCTTCCACACTGCTGTCATCTCCATTGGAAATTGTTAAATGGTTCTTTGCTGCCACCAGGAAAAAAACCGACCCCCACCTATCTACCTCCTCCTCCCACTTCCCACATACCTATTATGATCCAACCATGCTGAAATAACTGCAGAGCCCTGAATGCTGTCCAGCACTGTCCCATACAACTTTCTGCAGTGATGGAAATATTCTGTATCTCTGCTGTCCAGTATGGGAGCCATATGTGGCTATTGAGTACTTGAAATGTGAATAGCACAACACAAGACCTGGATCTTAAACTTTATTTACTTTTAACTAATTTAAATTTAAATAGTCATGCTGGGCCTGGTGGTGGTATGCCTATAATCCCAGCTATGTGGGCAGAAGTCTGAGGTGGGAGGATCCCTTGAGGCCAGAAGTTTGAGGCTGCAGTGTGCTCTGACAGTGCCTGTGAATAGCCACTGCACTCCAGCTGCCACAATATAGCAAGACCCCATCTCTAAAGAAAAAAAAAAAAAAATTAGCTAAGCATGGCAGAATAGGCCTGTAGTCCCAGCTACTCAGGCAGCTGAGGCAAGAGGATCACTTGAGCTCAGGATTCAAGGCTGCAGTGACCTATGATGGCACCACTGCACTACAGCCTGGGTGACAGAGCAAGACATCTAAGATAGATAAATAGATAAAAATAGAAGTCACATGTGGCTAGTAGATACTACATTGAACTGCACAACAGTTTACATCCTTGCTTCTCACAGTGTGATCCATCAGCATGGGTATTCCCTGGAAACTTGTAGGAATGCATCTCAGGCCTCATCCCAGATCTGCTGATTCAGAATCTGCATTCCACAAGATCCCCAGGTGATCAGTATGCACATTAAAGTTTCAAGAGCCACAGCTCTAATAAGCTCTTGCTTCCTTGGCTTTTACATGTACTGTTCTCTTGGTCTGGGCTGTCTGTCACCTGTTCTTTTTTCCTTAACTCCTACATATCCCTTGAGACCCATCTACACTCACAGCCTGCTGTTAATATGGTAATCTAGAGGGTAGGGGATGAAGGATATGGGGAAAGGAGTGAGAGGGAAAGAGAAAATATCTATGATAAAACCGCTTGTATCTTGTAATCTTAAATAACTATATGTATGTAGTTATAAATACACACATACACATATATACTATGTATATATTTATAGTATAGTATGTATATATGTATAGTATTCTATGTATATACATGTGTAAGTATAGTTTGTCTGTGTGTGTGTGTTTGTGTGTAAAAATATGGTTACTACAATGTCAGTGGTAGTTCTCTCAAGGTGATGGGATTTCATGTGTCTTACTTTCTAAAAATATTTTTGTGGTATCATTCAAATTCTTTACAATGAGCATGTATTACTGATATATAATTTTAATTACAGAAAACAAAATAAAGACTATATTAGCCTTTTGTAAGAAACTGCAAGAACATGATATCAGAATAAAGTATAGTGTTTTACAAAAAGGGAGAGCCCCCCGCCTTCCACAATTAGAGATACTCCCTTGTCTACAACACAAGAGCGGGCAGTAGCCATGGCATAAGCAACAACTGACCTGAAAGCAAAAGAATGATCTCTTGTGGTGCCTCCACTGCTGTCTCCTATGTCTACCTTCCCACCCCCACAGCAGACATGGTCCTAGCACCACGACAATCACCTCTTCTCTGTCCCTTGCCTGACTCCTAGCTAGGGCTGGAGCCTGAAAAGGGGCCTTAGGTGCACAGAGAGGGTCACCTGGAATCACTAGAATCATCTGCAGAAGTATATGGATATGTTGGGTGACTCAGATGACATCTTATTTGGCCCTTAGCATCAAGGATTTATTCTATCAAATACTCTATTAAGAACTAATGTTTTCATTTATTGGCTATTATATTTCTTTTCTAAATTTT